TCCTGGCGGCCCGAGGGCGACGTCACGGTGGCCGTGAGCTGGCTCAGGTCGGTCTCGCCGATGTCCAGGGGGATGTCGGCCGAGGTGCCCACCTTGAGGTGGGACAGGCGCAGGCTGTCGTCACCTGCGGGGATGGCGCGGGGGTCAGCAGGGGCGCCAGAGACACCCCAAAACCTCCTGTACCGGTGACACAGGAGGCTCCCAAAACCCCTGCGACACCCTAAAGCTCCCTGAATTGATGACACAGGCAGTGAAGAGACCCCCGAGGGCTCCTATGACCCCCCCAAACACCCCTGTACCACAGATACAGGCGGTATCGTCACCTGGAGGGGATGGTGCCGGGAAGGCAGCAGGCCCCAGGGTCCCCAGAGACACCCCAAAATGTCCTGTACTGGTGACACAGGAGGTCCCCAAAACCCCTGCGACACCCTAAAGCTCCCTGAATTGATGACACAGGCAGTGAAGAGACCCCCGAGGGCTCCTATGACCCCCCCAAACACCCCTGTACCACAGATACAGGCGGTGAAGGGACCCCCAAGACTCCTAGGACACCCCAAACCTGCCTCGTTGGTCACACAGGCAGGGAAGGGGCCCCTGGGACCCCCCGACCCTCCCTGTACCTGTGATACAGGTGGCAAAGGGGCTGAGCGCCCTCTGACACCCTAACTGCTGATACAGGCAACAAAAGGGCACCCCAGGACCCCCTGTGACCCCCAAACTCCTCTGTACCAGCGATACAGGCAGTGGAGGGGCTCCAATGACCCCCCCAAATTCCCCTGTACCAGCAATACAGGTGGTGAAGGGGCTCTCTGAGCGCCCTCTGACACCCTAACTGCTGATACAGGCAGCAAAAGGGCGCCCCAGGACCCCCTGTGACCCCCAAACTCCCCTGTACCAGCGATACAGGTGGCGAAGGGGCTCCTGGGACCGCCCTGACACCCCAACCCGGCCGGTACCACCGACACGAGCAGTCAGCCGCGACGCACCGGGTTCTCGTAGCAGATGTCCATCTCGTGCAGGCCGGCCTCGCTGGGCGCGAAGCGCACCGTCACCGTGCCGTCCTTGTTGTCCGTGATGTCCGGCTTGGCCACCTTGCCCGAGGGCATCCGCACCTCGCCTGGACGGGGGGGCAGGGAAGGACGGTGACCCCCCCCATGCCATGGGCTGGGTGTCCAGCACCCCATAGGGACCCCCCAGGGGACTCGGGGGGCTCCAGGGACCCCCTGGCTGTTGTGGGGACCCCTGGGAGGACCTAAGGGGGTGTGAAGACCCCCCTGGGACGATGTTGGCTGGTTTGGGGACCCCTGGGAGGAACCGGGGGGCTCTGGGAAGACCCCAAGGGGCTCCAGGGACCCCCTGACTATTTTGGGGAGCCCTGGGAGGACCCGAGGGGTTCCGAGGAGCTCCCTAAGGGGCCCTGACCCCCCCCCAAGCATTTTGGGCCCCCTCCTCACCCGTGATCTCGCCCTTCTTGATGGTGAAGGGGATGACGAGGTCGAAGGGCCGCAGCCCGGCCATGTCCAGCCCGTTGACGCCCAGCAGCGGGCGGTTGGTGGCCT